GTAATTCCGGGTTCATATCTTGCTTCTTTTTGATTTTTTTATATCGATCCATGTTGAGGTGTACAGTCATGAATCAAAAGCCACAGGTTTCGATTGCTAATTTCGAGATGTTTGATGCCGTACATGCAATGATCGAAAATCCTAGTGTTGCATATTTTTGAACTGTTCCACTTTAAAATTATACAGTCGACCCAAAGACTTCATGTTCCAGCTCAGGATATGAACTGTGGGCTTAACGTAAAAGGTAAACTATGGTACATCATTTGCTTTGAACTGTTTGAAGAATTATTCCTCCTGGCTTGAAGTTTTTTTGTTGACCGGTGCTTTATAAAAGTATCCTAAATTTGAGCCCTGATATCACAGGTCGGGATTCAGGAAGAACTGTGTTGACCTCACGTTCGTCGCCCATTACAAAAATGCAATTTCTTAACATTTATCACTTTAGAATTGACTTGTACGGGCATACACACGTATACGCCATAACCCGTCATTCCCTCAGTGCGAGGTTGTATAGCAATTAACTTTCATGATAATTTTCCATAATTTGTTGAAAACTGTTATTAAGGCAAAAATGTGTTGTTCGCTTTCTGTACTCAGACCTCAAATCTTCTTAGCACGCTTTGACCAGTTGCGGTTCACTGTAGTAAGATAGTTTTCCAATTGCTTTCACCAATGTTGCATCGTCTGGTAATCAGCTTGCTGGCGATTCTATGTCCCACTTGTTCCTTGAAGGGATTATCAGGTCAGCAATCCACACGAAAAAAGCGCTTTGGCAAGGCTTTTGCCGTTAAGCAAGATTTCACTGGTGCATGCTGAACACCACCACCATGTCTTGCTCCTTGCAGACATCTATTAAAATTTGATTGCTTCAAAAATGCTTTCAATAATCAAGATTTCCCAAAACTGAGATTTCGAAGGGAGTTAAGATTTACCAAAATTTGTGAAGCCGAAAGACTTCCGACTCCGTGTTGGGAAATTGCGAAATATGGGGTCTCCTAAAGCCAGCACCTGTAGGTAGAGTCTGCTGCCTTGTGTTACTTGCTTCTTATTGCAATAATGCATCACTTGTTTTTGCTTCTCATTTGTTTTGATGTTTTACGCGTGTGTACTTTTTACCTGAAATGCTTGGAATCGTTCTAATCTACATTTACATGGTTACGTGTGAGTAGAAGCACGTTTTTTTCTTTTTTGCTCGTCGTATTTCAAGGCAGATGAATGGTTCCGCTAGAATCTGAAGCACTTACCTCACGTTGCTCTTCACTTTTGCTTCAGCACGACGCACGCATCAGCTAAACAAAACTTTATCAAATGACTTTCGAACAATTAACGGCACTTTTATAGCCGACAACAACTGGAATCATTCTGGTAAAAATGAGATCCCAAATTAATACACAAAAAAAAAAAAAAAAAAAACTGCGCATAAAAAAGACGGTGTTTCAATTGTGGTGCCTCATTGGGAGGGCACAGTGGTATATATATGCATGCACAATTAGCTGACGTAAGCTAACCGCAGTCCTTTTGATCCGCGCCTGCGGACATTACTTTCAGAGCTAGCCACACCAAAGGGCTCTGCTGAAGTTTATATCGCCTGAAATGTGCACCATATTCTGTCCATCCTATTGCATCAGATTTGCAGTAACAGCATGGGCCGTCATATCTAAATTTCGGTGCGCGCCTTCGTTAAAGTCTGACGCTGATTCCGGATTATAGAGGGGACTGGAAAATTGGTTATAGAGCATTTTGGCTAAGCTGCTTGCTGTAAACCAAAACCTTGGAGGAATTAATCTGACTGGACTTACCCATACTTCCAGCCAACAAGTTCCTCCACCTCTTTCAGAAAAAATGCTACAAATAAATGCTTGAAAGGACAACAAAATCAGCTTAAAAATCTTAACAAATCAAAAACAAGTGAAGTAAGCGGAAAGGAAGAGACAAAGAAAATAAGGCCTATGCATACAACCGAAGGCACCGTAATAAAGAGTTTAAGGGAACTGCGACAACAACAGCCAAAAAATCAACCAAAACTACGCTCATTAGGGGTAACTTCTGTGCCAATTCTGCTTTCATATTGAGCAGAAAAGTAATCGAAGTGGCTCAGTGACAGAGCCTTTGACAACAGACAACAAAACTGAGCCGAGTTCGAGGGGCGAAACATGAAAAACTTCAATGCGCGTCATTTCTGAGAATACAAGAGAAACAAAAACTGATCCATGGCATATTAAAAATGCCATCGAACACACAAAAAAGGGATAATTTGGCTGGGAAATAATGAAAAAACAAGAGAAAAAGTCTTCTAATGACTTCATCAATCTGTTTCCCAAAGCAGTGAACCGAAAACAGCAAAAATTCTACAAATGCCAGAACCAGGGACCACTGAAGCAACGATTCGTTGATTTTCTGAAAACACTGATTCGGAAATAACATTCACAACATGAAAAAGAACGCCACAAGCCGCCTTCTTTTCCACGTTGGAAATGTCGCCTTTTTTATGCTCCCACGGAATCTGTCAATGACTGAAAAAACCTACTAGAAGACCAAGAAGGATACTTGGATCAAAAAAAAATAGCCAAATTTTGATGGAACAATTCACAAAGAACGTAAAATAATGATGAAAAAACAAACTCTTAATAAATATATGAACTTTCCTGGCACTGCATAAATATATCAACTTTCATTAGCATTCGATCAAGCGTATACCGGCTGCAGGACGACTCCAAAACAACACTTCCAGATCTTGTTCTTTGTCGAAAAGAGCAACAGCACAACCACCCCAACCAGCTCCAGTGAGTCGCGCACCCAGTGCACCACTTCTCAAGCACTTTTCAACCTAAATCAATGAATTTGCAAAACAAAACAGTCCGCCTGATTGAATCAGTATGTTTTCAATTAAAGTACAAAAATCTTAAACGACTAGTCTGCCTTTAGACGATGGAAGTAATAACGAAGTAAAAAGTGACTAATAATAAGCGGGTTGCTGGATCCTACACTATTCATAAGGCAAATTTCTGTAGAAAAAGAAAAAAGCAGTAAAACAATAGCAAGCTCATCAGCGGCTCATAAGCCTTAGCCCTGGCTACAGTGAAATGATGTGAATCTGACGCTTTTTTCAAACTTTGCAGCAAAACGAAAGTAAGATATGATAAAACGGGAACTGTTCAAATCATTATGGTGCGTACAAAATTGGCTTATCAAGACCAAACGTAAACTGTTCTGGAATAACTCACCACTTCATCCAGCTTATCGCAGGAGCATTCATATAGGTCTCGGCAACTTGTATGACTATCGTTCATCAGCCGTCCCATTTCTTTAACATCTCCAGTTTTGCAAGCTTCATGGAAGCGGCGCACTCGATCGGCCTCAGCGTAAACATGTCCTGCCCTTTGATACAGCTTGAACACTTCCACTGAAAATGATTCCGCGAATATCCTCGATTTTGTGCAACAGACTTCATTGCAATGACATAAGAGAAACTGATAATGTGCGGGAAAAGACGCAAATAACACTAGCTGGATCGGATTCAAAAATCTCAGATTTATTGTAGAAAGAAAGACACTAAAAGACATGGAACTGCGACAAATTTTCCCAGAATTCTCATTAGAATTCAGCAGATTTTTTATCTTTTTAAAATAAGTGTGTTAGTCAACATATTGTCCTGGAACCTTGGATAATACTGAAATGTTTCCAAATGCTTGCACAGCTATAATCTGCACCCCTGTCCCGAGTTGTCCACCATCAATTTGTGTCTATCATTTCTACTAGTTCGCTTAATCCCAGCGTTCTTTAAAGTTTCTGTAACAGGATTTACCGTCCCTACCCCTAAATGCCTGATTTCGCAATTTATCGATCTCCAGCCTAAATCTTTATCCCCATCTGGCTGAATTTTGCACTTATTTGGAAGTTTCTTTTACTTCCAGTCTAGATGTGCTCTCGCTGCTTTAAATTTCTTTCAGCGCAGGCGATTTCGACAGCTATTCTGGTCCTATTGCTCTTTGTAGACTGTAACTGCTCACCGACATGTGATGATCACCAGTGTTAGTAAATCTTTAAAGGCAGACAAATTTTTCGACCACGACATTAGCATCTTTTCTAGTCACAACTTCCAAATGCTATCTATCAGACGAAGCGCTTGATTACGGCCACGGAAAGACACTCTAACTATTCTTCGTTCTACCACACATCCGTCATCTGCTCCTTGTATCACGCATCCGTACGTCATGTCGTCAACACAGTGGTAATAGAGATACCATTATCCAAAAATAATGTTTGGTAAAACTTTGGTTGTTTTCTTCTCTCACAAAGTAGGGGGTGAGAATATGTCGGTATACGCAAAATACATAAATAGGAGGAAAAACTGGTGTAGCACTGCCCTCACGCAATAAGCCGGAGGTTCGATTTCGCCAGTGGTACTACCAATCCATCTACGATTCGTTCATTCGCTTTGGCAGTAAAATTAGTGCTGGCACATATCAGGGAGCCAAATCTGCCGTCGACTTGTTTATAATCAACCTCGAAGGAGGGAGCTGTCGAAAGCCTTGCCAGGGAATGATTGCTGTTAGCATTTGCTACCATTTTGGCTACGTGCTGAATGTTTACGCCTCTCACTGAAAGCGTTTACGGAAGGGATTTTTGGCTTATTCGACATTCGAGTCCCACGCTGTTTTGGAAATTTCACAGTTTTGTTTTTAAATTCGAAGAATGCTTCACTGCAAAGTCTCACTGTGTTGAGTGTTCGCTGAAAGAACGATTTTGCTGAACTCGTCGTCCGTTATACCGAGCAGACTCAGTGCGCTGTCTTTCGTGTACACAGGAGACTGTAGGATTTCATCCACCACACTAAGCATTTCGCTTGCGCTCTTCTGCAGCCGCTCCGCCAACTGCTTTAAGGTTCGGATTTCTTTCCAATCCTCAATTTCACAAGCCTTCGCCATCACCTGCAAAACGCGTGATCTGACTTTTACCAAGCACTCAAATCTGTCCTGAACATACGAAGCTGTAGATTTTACTAGCTCTATCAAAAACAACAAAATGAGATGGCAGTGTGGAGTTCAGTACTGGTCAGATACAGCCAAAGAACGTCACTCCTTCGTGCTCCCTAATACCAATAAAAAATACTAGCTGAGTTAAACCAATATCTGAAAAAAAAAGATTCTGATTTCCGAATTACCAGTTTTAATGCCAAAACTTTCACGCACTCGCATGCAAGGCAAGAGCGCGCGTGTAGGCTGATTTTAAAGTTGCGGGTATCATTATCCTAAAACTTCAGCCTCCTCGTCCTTGTTCCCGAGTTACTAATTTCGGCACCAAAGCTTTCGCGCATCCATATTAGAGACTCAGACTACGCAGGAACACAATTTATACATGGGCATGAGTACTATTCTGAAATTTCATGTGTTCCTTCGTGAGATCTAGGCATGCGGAAGGGACAAATTTGAATTTGTAGGGTCATCCGCCGGCAGATGAAATTATCCTAAAGTTTCAGTTTCCTGGTTTTTCTGGCACCCGAGTTAATTTTCGCATCAAGACTTCCACGTGTCCGTAAGCGCGACTTGGGCAGGCCCGAAGGCTGAATTTAACTTCACGGATTCATGCGCGACCAAGGAACATTTTTTTTTTTCAGAATTTCAGTTTTCTAGCTTTTTGGCTTCCCGAGCTATTAAGTAGGCGCGAAAATTCTCAAGTGCCTAGTTAAAAACCAGGCATACGTCGGGCTAGATTTTAGTTTCTAGGGTCATTAGCAAGCAGAAGGCATCTTCTAAAATCTTCAGCTTCCCAGCTTTCCTGGTTCCTCGTCAAAACTTTTACGTATCCGCACTCAAGTTTCAAGTGGTATGTGAAGACTTAACTATACAAGATCATACGCCGGCCAGGAATATTCTCCTAAAATTTCAACTTTCTAGCCTTTGTGCTTCCCGCGTTATTAATTTCGGTGCCGTATCTTTTACGCGACCGAACGCTCTTGAGTTTGCGAGACCCTTAAAATTTCAGCTTCTTAGCTTCCCTGCTCCCGACTTGAAAAGTCCGAATAAAATGCACTCGGAACGTACACATACAGACACACACACACAGACATACACAGACACACGTGCACAAACATACGCACAGACAAGGTGTCGATAATATGCGTTTTGTGCAACTGTTGCAGCATAAAAAGCGTACGTAACACGAAGGGGATAATGACGATTTAGTCCAAAAATTCCATGGAAGAGTTTGAAATTAAATATTTATGAAACTGGGTGACACAGCATCAAACCTGTGCAGCAAGGCGGCACTCCACAACACGTTCGTTGTACTGACTGGTGGCAGCTTTGTTAAGAGTCTCTCCGGAATGAACCACTGCGAAAAGAGCATTTTCTGGGAGCGCAACTCGCGAAAAAGTGAGTGGCCCAAAATCAATCCGAAGCGCTGATCCTTCCTCAGCTAAGACTTCAACTGCTTGATCCATGCCGCCACCTTCCATTCCGATGTACCGCTCAACTTTTGCGCACAGTTCAGCAAAATCCACCTGAAAGAAAAGATAAAAAAGGTTGCTAATTTTTAAAAAACTGTTTTGTCGAAATTACGGGATGAATTTTAAGGTACTAGAAAGATATGCTCAAAAAAGCAAAAGTGTTTCATGCACTGCGCTTGTACCATAAAATTTAGCTTCACCGCTTCTATGAAACTGAACTGGTTGGGTGTATAAGCACAGAAATGCGCTACCAAATTACGCAAAAAGGCAAAAAACATGCATAGGCAAATCAGAGAGAAGAGGGGTGAGCGAGGAGAAAGGGAGCCACAGAACAGGAGAGAGGGCAATGATGTTAAACTGAATCTTAAAAACTAACTGGCTGGGGAAAGTTGAAAAGAGATGAAGGAAAATGCCTGAGTGAATTGCTAAAATCAAGAAAACGAAAACCGTCTAGATGTGTGTGCGTGTGGGTGTGTGTGGATGTGCGTGCTAGCGTGTGTGCTTGAATGATCCCGTAGGCCGAGTGAAGGTTACACCAAATCCTGAAATACCGAACTGAACAAAAAAATAATATCCACTTTCTGCTTTGATATTCATGCATCATAGCTTCGGAGGCCAACCAAGCGGCCGACTGTTTCTTCGCCGGTTACTAGCCACTAATGCCAACAAAATAATCAACACCAACACATAATACTTTTTGAGGCCAACTAATTTAACAATAAATTTTGCAATAAAATTCCACGATGCAAGTCCAAACTCACCTTATCAATCTCATCAAAACTCTTGCCCGTGTGAAAAGCAAGCGTCGCCAGCGCACCGGCACATACTAACGCGCTGGAGCTCGAAAGCCCAGCGCTTGGTGGTATGTTACCTGCAAGCTCAAACTGCTGAATTCGCAAGCAAGCAAGTCACAGGCCAACAACGGAAGAGAGAGAGGGCGGGCTCGAAAAAAACAAGTGCTAATAGGTATGAAGCTAACTTATTCACTTCTTTCTGCTTAAATGCCCTACTTTTTCTTCAGTATTTCAACAGAAATAGCTCTCAACCCAAAATTCTAAATTGCTGATTTGTGAAAATTGAAATTTAAAGTACCCCATACGTACTGGAAAATATTCTATTAAAAAAGTTCATCTGATAAGCCAAATGACTGAGCGACTAAATATTAATGGATATTAATTACATTCAAAGTAAATCAGAACAGAGAGATACAAGTTGCTGCGGACACACACACACACACACACACACACACACAACACACAGACAAACCCGTGACAATATGCGTTTTGTACTGCTGTTACACAGCACAAAACGCGTAAAAACAGACGAGCTGAAAACAGATGTCTCGGCCCATGAACTTCCAGAGTGTACAAAGAGACTAGGATAATGAAACAAAACCAACCGGAGATGAGCACATTCATGCCTTTTGGAGAAACACAGAAACGTTCCATGATACCCTGCCATCCACACAGAAAATAATGAAACCATTCCGGCTTGCTGCTGCCAATCCACTTCTCACCAATTTTATATGTGTGAGCTCTTTAAAATCACACTTTAAACATTTCCAGACATGAAAACGAACTACAGTTTTTGTAGATGCAGTGAATTTTTCGCGGCGGGGAGCTGTTTAGCAAAAATATCTGGCCCTGCATAGGCTCTAAGCTGTCAAAATAAAGCCCTATCTGCTACCTGCGCCTTTCAAGTAAATTCACCTTTCACATATACAACTTATGAACAAATCTGTTAATACTTGATCAACAGAGAGACCAACTGACAAGCTATGCGCAGTGTTGAGAAGCTTCACTTCTGGCAGTTTAAATAAAAATTGCTTGTGGCTTCGATAAACTCAGGGGCAAAAAAAAGCACAGATATGCAGATCCATGTACTCAATTAAACATGCAAGCCTGCCAGCCTCTCAACCATAGTTTAAATTAACTCGATTTGTTCTTTTTTATTTCAGTTTGTTCTAATTGGGAAACTGAACGTAACAGTGGAAATAATATGAAATAATTGGCCAACGCACGGGCTGCCCGTGCGAAGATGCGTTTTTTGCATAGTTCCCCGCA